CTTTCGTGTGTCGGACATGTTTGTAAAGGATTCTGGCCCTCGTTGGCCCCCCTGTTCCACAAAAGAAAGTCCTCCTGAATCAGGGAGGATTACATACTGCTGCAGGATCCCTGCAGTCAGCAACCAGAGACTCAGCAGGTGACGGCTGCATGTGGTGGGAGAGGAAGAATTCAGAAGAAATTCAGCAGATTCTGCCTCCAGTTGAGGCGTGAATAGTAGAGGAACCCCAGTTTACACACTTAAGGTATTCTCATTACATGCGAGTCACAGAGGTCTGAAATATTTCCTCAAAAACACTCAAATAATTCTGAAGATCTCCTCAGTATTCAGTCCACTGCATGAAAAAGAGGATTCTTTTCATCTGCCTCCAAAGTTGCACGTATCCTATAATATTGATGTAATTCTCTTCACACACCGGGACTCAACATTCTTTACTTGAGATTCAAACTAAAGTACAAACATGCAGCATAATCTTCTGATCTTTGTTGATGAAAAATAGAGGAAACATGAGACGGATAATCGGGAAATCATTTTTTAAGGTGATGTGAGGAAACATTTTGGATTCGACACCGCCGATGCTAAAATTATGAATAAAAGTGAGTCTTTGAAATGCAGCTGCCTGACAGCAAAGTTAACATGACGACAAACCTGAAGTACAATATGTACTTTATAGTTAGGCTGCTGGTTTGGGTTCAAAATAATTTCAACAACCTATACGATTATATTTGTTCTGGTCTCACCGAAGGAACCGAGCTGTTCTATAAGCGTGTGTTTAGAAACAGCTGTGTCAGACACGATGCATGATCCAGGAAGGTCCAGTTTGAGTGACAGATCCATGACGTTGAAAATTCAGCAGAAGCCAAAACAGTGGACAGAGGTGGTGTTTTTTTGCGTTTAGGTGTTTCTTCACTCAAGCTGAAACATTTTGATCTTTTGCGGACATGTGTCAGCGTCACTCTGAGCCACCCTGGGTTGATTTATGTATCTAATCTTTCCATTGACTTTGTACGCAATAAAAGTTATTCTGCCCCCTAGTGGTACACATTAAAACAGTTTTAAGAGTGTCTTGGTTACATTTCTAGGATTCCATCCGACCTCCAGAAACATCTGCACAATTCTTGTTTGTTTGCTGTAATTAGATCTCGTGGATGCTTGTGAGAGAGTTGATACATCACTATTACATCCAGGCTCTGACAGTGCCAGTGTGTAGGATTTGGCGGCATCTAGCGGTGATGCTGCAGATCGCAACCAACTGAATTTCCCTCATGTGCAAAGTGCACGGGAGAGCTACAGCGGCCAACGTGAATGTTTCTGAAGTGCCAAATTGATTTGTCCAGTCTGGGCTACTGTAGAAACATGGTGGACTCCGTATGTAGGCGTGAACGGCTCATTCTAAGTTAACGCTCCTCCTAAATGCTACACACTGTACCTTTAAGTATCTTCTTGTAAGTCCAACCAGAGGACTCCAGAGCGTTCTGTCAGAAAGTTCAAGCTAAGAAAGCACCACCAGCTGATTGCATCTTAACTCGCAACTCTCCTCTGACACTCAAACGTAACCTCCTGTCTCTTCTGGGGATGACAAACACTTCTTCATATTCATTGTTACGCTCGGCTGGATCAAGTGAATTCTGGATTAATTACCGACTGAGGATGTCAGAGACGCTCCGTGTTGCCGGGTCGAGAGCTCCGGCCCCCAAAAAATGATTATCCAACGTGTTAATTGGTATTCAGCGCCGGTCAGAAATCCAGCTCATGAATATGAATGGCAGCGAGGTTGAGCGATGGAGTAGCCCGAAAGACACAACAGACCCTGTTAACCCTGAACAACACGCCCACGGTCTCTCAGTTTCTGTGGCTTTTCATTACATCATCTTAAAATGTAATAATTATTTTGGGCTTCCAGTAAATATAGGTGAACCAAGATGATGACTTATTCATATACAGTTTTAACGGCCTGTTTTTGTCAACGACACCTGGTCGTCGTCCTGTACGACTCTGGTAGCGGCATAGCCCCGCCCTAAAGCATCCCCTGCTTTATGGTCTGTTTGACTCTAAATGGACCATAATGTACTAAATGAACATCATGCTGTACTGAAGAAGACTTGAAACTAGAGATTGAGACCATAAACTCATGTTTACAATGTTTACTGAGGTAATAAATCAAGAGAGAAGTAGAGTCATTTTCTCATAGACTTCTATACAACCAGAGGAGTCGCCCCCTGGTGGTCACTAGAGAGAATCCATTGGCTTCACTCATCAGAACAGGAGGTTGCCGACTATCCACCTGGTTCCAGTTGGCATTATTCTACGTTAATGAAAACTGCAATGAAACAAAGAGTTCACGTTCACATGCTCAGGCCTGTTTATTTCTCATACATGTGCCATTCACTCCTCTCATGCATGCTCACTCATAATGTCCTTGCTGAGCACAGCGACACATCGTCAGTCTATCGTCTTGCTGCCGTCTTCTTGTTTTTAAAGATATGATCGTCTCTCTGCCGTTAGTATTCATGCTGCTGCTACACGCGCCCCTCCACCTCCTCATTACCGCCCAGTCTTTGCAGATTCATCGGCTTCATCATTTTATCAGCAACCACCACCACCAGTGTCTGGACTCCACGGGGGGGATTTATCTTTCCTGCTGCTCAGGGCAGACACCGCTGGATCACAAATCTCCAAGCACCAAAGATTCTGCCAAAGACTTTATCACCACAAATCATCTGTTATAATAAACACTTATCTATCTTGTGTCTCCTGATTGAAATGTATTATTAACCTCATGATGTAGATTCAATCTCGCGAGATGAAACTGATTTAACAAAGTGAGAAGTGTTGCTAAATCTCTATGTGATGGAGACTTGACGAGGTCTAGGTTTGAGGTCTGAGCGATTAACTGTTATTATATCAAAACGAGGATTTGAGAGAGTGCAAAGTCTCAACCTATAAAGAGAGTCGTCGGCATGTTTGGCCGACGCAAACTAATTATCTTTAATCTTCTTCTGCTCTCGGCATGTCGGAAGGATAAAACGGAGCGAGACGCCTCACTCTGTAACATTTTGTAGGTCTGATTTAATAAACAGACGTAAGACAAGATGATGCAAAAGATGGTAAAAACTAGTGCTGTGAGGAGCGGTGGGATTTAACTGCTACTCCACTAGAGTTACCTTTCAGATAAAGAGTTCTAAGTATTAATTGCAATGATTTATTAAAGATTAAACCATTTCACATTTTGCTATTTGACCTTTATTATCAAAATAAAGTCTATTTGGGGCGTTTTTGTTACGTTTCAGATATCTAAGAGTTGTTAGCAAGTTTCCTCAGGCTTAAATTGTCTTTTAGAAATACAAAAAGATGTAAAATGATCCAATATTTCACAAAAGAAATGCAGATTTTTGAAGCAGAACTTTGTTTTTTCTTCTTTCCTCTCACATTAATCATCTCACGTGGTTGGGAACCACTAGACTAAACATATGTTTAAAACTAGCTCCACCTCAAACAGTCACAGCTGAAACATGCTCCTCCAACATTAAAAGTAAAAGTAGTACTTAAGTAAAGGGTCCGAGGACGCTCCGCACTCTGAATCTGCAGCACAGAAAGAACCCGCGTTTACTTCCTGTTTCTGCCCTGAAGTGGCTCTCAGCCTCAGAACAGCTGAGTCAGGAACAAAGAACTTAACCCGATCATGGTTCTGTGGTTTCTGAGGCTTTTCACTGCAGGCTGAGAGCAGACGAACACATCTGACTTCACTGATGTGATTGTGCTCGTCGCTTCAGGGAGAGGATCAGAGTGTGTGTGTGGGTGTGTGTGTGGGTGTGTGTGTGTGTGTATGTGTGTGTGTGTGTGTGTGGGTGTGGGTGGGGGTGTGGGTGTGTGTGGGGGTGTGGGTGTGTGTGTGTGTGTGTGTGTGTGTATGTATGTGTGGGTGTGTGTGTGTGTACGTATGTGTGGGTGTGGGTGTGTGTGGGTGTGTGGGTGTGTGGGTGTGTGTGGGTGTGTGTGTAGCAGAGAGTAAATACTTAACTTTCTTAGTTGAGTGAGTTTTATTTTGTAGCCTGAGATCACAAATCTGCCTCAAAGGGCCAAAAACACTTTGACTGTTGAAGGACAGACAGGAGGAGATAGAGGAAGGAGGGAGGAGGTAGAGAAGGAAAGGAGGTGACAGAAGAGGCGAGGAAGAGGTAGAGAAGGAAAGATGGCGGGGGAGATGGGAGGGAAGAGATGATGCAAAGACAGAGGATGTAGACAAGGAAAGAAGGAAGCAGAGAAAGAAAGGAGGATGTGGAGGAAGGACAGATGAGGTAAGAAGAGAAGGAAACAGAGCAAGGAAGGAGGTAGAGAAGAAAAGGATGAGGTAGAGGAAGGAAGGAGGATATGGAAAAAGGAGGGAAGAGGAAGGAAGGAGGAGATAGAGGAAGAAAGGAGGATATAGTTAAATAAAGGTGGATGTAAAGAAGAGAAGAGGAGGCAGAGGAAGGAAGAAGGATATGGAGGAAGGAAGGAGACAAGGAAAGGAGGAAGCAGAGTAAGACAGGAGGAGGTAGAGGAGAGAGGGAGGTGGTTAAGGAGGAAAGGAGGAGAAGATGGAAGAAGGACCGCAAAGTAGAGAATGAAAGGAGGAGATATAGAGTAAGGAAGGGTGGAGGAGGTAGAAAAGAGAAGGAGGAGGGTAAGGAGGAAAAGAGGAGGAGATGGAGAAAGGAATGCAAAGCAGAGAAAGGCAGGAGGAAATGTAGTGAAGGAAAGAAGGAAGTGCAGAAGCAAAGCGAGAAAGACATAAGGAGATAGAGGACAGAACGAATAGTTGAAGGTAGCGAGAAGGAGGAAGTAGAGAAGTTTTTGCTTCTGTAGCTAAACTCTCTCTGGGATACTGACGTCCCCCTTGTCCTTTGACCTCTCTTGAGTCTCCACCCGTGTCTCCTTCCTGTACACCTGTGTCTCCTTCCTGTACACC